TCTTGGAGAACGAAGATGCTCCCTGTAATTGGTCAAAGAGGTCATCAATCCTCGGGAATGGGTAACAGTTCTTCACCGTTTCCTTATTTAGCTACCGATAATCTATACACATCCGATGCGACCCGTCTTTCTTCCTCACAAACAAAATTCAGGGCTCCCTAGGGTGAACTGCTTGGTCTAATGAATCCCTTTTCTAACAGTACATGCAGCTGTGTAGACAACTCCTGCATCTCAGGAGGAGCCAACCGATACGGTGCCTTGGCTATCAGAGCCGCACCAGGGACCATGTCGATTCTGAATTCCACCTGCCTCTCTGGAGGTACTCGGGCAACTCCTCGGGGAATACGTCCTCAAACTCCCATACTACGGGCACATCACCCACCGTCGCCCTACCCGCCTCCCGGGTATCCATTACATAGGCGACATAACCTGCGCAACCCTGCTGAAGGTAGCGCCTAGCCCTCGCTGCTGAACATAAAGCTGGTCCTCGCTGTGGCCTTTCGCCCTGAACCACCAGCTCTACCCCACTAGGGGTCCTAATCCGCACTGACTGTTGCGCGCAGTCGATCACTTCCCCATTGGGGCTCAGCCAGTCCATACCAATAACGACCTTGTTCCCCTGCAAAGGTATGGGAACCAAGTCTACCAGGTAACGTTCCTCGAACAACCTCAAAACACAATCCTGGTAGACCTCCGACACTCGTACCTATCGGTCGTCCGCAATCTCGACCTCTAAAGGGCAATCCAACATGCCTGAAGACTCCGGAGACTTCTTGCTAAGCACAAGAGAGACAAATGATCGAGTGGCACCCGAATCAAACAACACCTGAACTGGGATACCGTTCATAGGGAACGATCCTAAGAAAGGCACATAACATATCAAAATCACAGCGACATAACATAAAAGCGTAAAATATGAAATCATACCCGTCACCACATTGGGTACAACATGTGCCTCCTCGGCTGTCAGCTGAAATGCTCGGCTCCGAACCACTGGAGCCTCCAACTTAGCCTTCCGGCCATTGACCACCCATGTTGTCGCTGGAGTCGGTGCCACCGCTACTGCTGCTGCTGTCAATCTAGGGCTATTGGCCTTTTTATGTCCCTTCTGATTACAATGAAAGCAAATTAGGTAAGATATCTGAATCGCAGGAGTAGGGGCAGTACAATCTCTGCCAAAATGTCCAACCATGCCGCACTTATAGCAGCTTGAACCTGGCCCAGTGCGACAAGCTCCCTCGTATGACCGACCGCATTTCCCACAATGGTCCCGCCCTGACTGACCTTTCGGCCTACCATCAGATCACTTGGGCTTCTTCCCCGAAGCCCCCATCGTCAGCCCCTCTGCTGCCTTCCTCTTCCGAATGTGCTCTAGATCAATCTCCCTTTCCCTAGCCCTAGTAATCATGGAATCCAGGGTAGGGAAGCTGAGAAACTGACATGCACTCGGATGTCAGCTCGTAGCATGTCATGGTAGCGGGTCCTCTTCATGTCCTCATCACCCGTATACCGGGGCACCAACAATGCCCTCTCCCGGAACTTGGTGGTGATCTCCGCCACAGTCTCTATAGTCTGTCTCATGTCCAAGTACTCCCTGGCCAGTTCTTGAATCTCCACAGCTGGCGCAAACTATGCCTTGAATCTGGTCACAAAGTCCGACCAGGTCATAGCCTCAACAGTCGAGGCTCCCAGAGAGTCACCAACCGACTCCGACCAATCTCTGGTCCCGTCTCTCAAACACCATGTAGCGAAATGGACCTTCGACACTTTCTGGCGGAAGCTCGTCAGCTGCATAGACTCGATGTATGCGATCCATATCATAGCCACAATGGGGTCATTCACACCATGGAAATATGGCGCACCACTCCCTCTGAAGTCCTTAAAGGATAGTGTGCGTGGCCCTGACTGGTTGGTTGTCATGTCACACCTGAATGCCCTGAGGCTAGGGCACTCTCCGACCTACCCTCCGCTATCAGCTACACTAGGAGTCCCCACCACCTCCCCCTAGCTAACTTGCGGATACTGTTACATATCCGTTCCTTAGCTAGTTGAAGATGGCCAGAACCCCCATACCAGAAAGCAAGCAACATTCGTGCATTGGATAACCAAAATCAGACATAACCTACACAGTCCATCCTACTGCTGACTAAACAGCCCTAACATACAGGTCATACTACAGGCATATAAGGCATCCTCCCTAGACCCTTAGCCCTAACTATCATGCAATTCTCAAAATCATATATCAGGCACAAAAGGCATCCTCCTAGATCCTTAGTCCTATTCTAACTTGCAGTTTTCTGAATCAAAACCATATAACATAACATAGCAAGTATGGGTATCTTGGGGAAAACTTACTTGAGCTCGGTCGGTAGCATGAATCACACACTTCGTCTTTCTTAAAATCCTTCCATTTAGATTTTAGAAAACCATTTTCCTTGTAAAAATCTTTTAGCCCCTCAATTTGAGTCCAGACACCCCCGAGGGTGTGTCCGAATCCCTTAAACCAGGGCTCTAATACCAACTTGTAACATCCCAAAATTCAAGCCCGAAAATTTCATTTTTAAATTAACAGTTCCATAAACATTTTCACCAAAATATCTTCAAATAAACAACACATGACAAATTCATATTGTTGTGTCCCAAACCATAACGTCAAAAGTAATAAAGATCAGAGTACATTCCCAAAAACTCCTTTCGGAAAACCATGTGTGTGTGTGTGATGCGCTGCTACACCGCCGACTCCTTCCCCTTCGACGAAGAGGTACCTGAAACCAAAACCAAAACTGTAAGCACAAAGCTTAGTGAGTTCCCGCATCATACCACATACCATACAATATCGTCGGGATCTTTCAACCGGTTACCTTCATCGGTATCTTTCAACCGGTAACCTTCATCGGTATCTTTCAACCGATAACCATCATTGATATCTTTCAACCGATAATCAATATTGGTATCTTTCAGCCGGTATCCGTCATCAGTATCTTTCAACAGGTAAACTGGGGACTATTTTACCCCTACCACTAGCATACAATAAACAGATATAAACATATAATCAGGCATATCCGGGTACTGACCTACCCTTGGGTCCTAAGGAACACTACTAGGGAAACTAATCCCTACTATACACATAACATATCATCCAGATAAATCTCATATCCAATACATAACCAAACCAAGATAATTATCACAAAGACCATTATCTTTTAAATACCCCTTTTTGGTGGGCCGACATTGTGGCCTTAGACCCACCCCTGCTGGAAGATAACTCACCTCAATGTCGTGCAGTATTTGAATTATCCTCGGTGCATAAGTCGACTCCCTTCGAATCCTCAATCCATACATGACAACCTTCAAGTTAACACACTGCACGTGCAACCCTAAACAGGGTTAGTCCAATTCCACTCAAAGTCAACTTCAAGTTGACCCGACTCGCTGAGTTGGGCCGTCAACTCGTCGAGTCCCAAACCCTTTTCTCGTCCTTATCCATGACCCGATTCGTTGAGTTTGGAATCGACTCAACAAGTTCCTTTCTCATATGGACATCACATGAAACTCATCTGACTCGCCGGGTAGTATGAACACTCGTTGAGTCCACCTTCATGTGATGAACAAGCCCTGTCCTCGACTCGCCGATTTGTATGAACAACTCGTTAATTTCATCTTCATTCTTAAGAAGACTGCCTTGGACTCGCCGAGTCTGTTCTAGCACTCGCCGAGTCCCATGAACTTCAGGTATAAAATCACGTCCAGTGCATTGGTTAACTCTTCCTGTCAAGTTACAACCCTTCTAACACTAAACTGGGTTCCTTTGACCCTCAACAGATATGGGGCTCAAAGCCTCAGACTCATCGAGTACAAAAACGGACTCGTCGAGTGGGTCATGTCCACACTCAAAATCCTCGATTTATGATGTACAACCTTTAATCAAAAGATAGATCCAAGCTTCTATAATTGATCTAGCACGTAAAGTTACAAACTTTACGTGCTTGCATGGGACTTTGAGATCAAAAAGACATAAAAAAACCTCTTAAGATGCATGGGACCTTTCATGGGTGCAAAAGCAACCCAAATCTGCCTAGTGACCCCTTTAATGATGTGATTCAGAAGCTTTAACCCCCAACCATGTTTGCAAACATGGTTGCCGACCAAAAATGGCTTATAAAAGCCCTA